TACTAGTTTTGCGTATTTTGTTGTATGTTTATACTTTATTAACTGATATTATCATGAATTTAATGGAAAGTTACATGACATTGTTTGAAGTTCTCATAAAGAGTGTTACTAAAGTCCTAAGTCCCGAATACACTTTGGTATTACCTATAACACAATAGGTAATGTATTTTTTAATAGTAGTATGTCATTTTCTTATGATGCTATTCATATATTTCATTTTCTTTATTCATACCATTTACTCATATCCGAACGATATAATTTGATATAAGAACCTGTCATCCCATATATATATATATATATATAAAAGAACCTAAGAACATATACAATGTTAGCTTTTATACAAGTTTTTTAATATTTTAAAAAGCTTGTTATGTTTGAAAAATAAGACTTTTTCTAAAGATCAATTCAAACACTTATTATCCACTAACCTTTTAATTTTCTTTCATATCTTCTTTAATGCATGTGTTTTGTTTGTCATATTTGATTCATACATTAATTAACATTATATTTTATACCCCAATAATATTTAGATATTAGTTTTTTATTCTATTAGTTAATCAACTGATTTAAAAAAATAATAATAAATATACTTTATAAAAGAAGTTATATAATTTAAAAGTAGTTGTAAAAAATATCAAAATTAGTGTAATCGAGAGTTATAGATGTTCAAAGTTATATAAGTAACTTTATTCTTCTCTAGATGATTAATATTTAGATATGTGATAATTGTTGTATTTGTTTATAGTAGAATATAATATTTGATTTGCTATGAATTGATACTATATTCGTTGAGTAATTAGTGTAATTGAGAATTATAGTTGTTTAAACGGGTATTTTTATTCGCACCTTGTGATCTTATAAAAATCAAAACCACATTGAAAGATGTAATAAATAAAAAAGGTCTAATAACAATTATTTTATGTTTTTTATTATTCCATATTAATTTATATATATATATATATATATATATATATATATATATATATCCCCTATCCTAATAAATAAGTATAATATGTCCACATGTCACTCTCCCAACCCCCCTAAATCGTGTTTTCCCGCTTCTTTTCTTCATCTACATTTACGTATCTGCCCTCCGAAAAAATTTGCACCGATCAAATCAAATACATTCAACAAACGGAAATATAGATGAAAGATTTCCAAATAATAATTGAAAATAATATGCAGAAATCGTAAATTCAAATTTCAAATTCGTTCATATCCAATCCAATAAAATGTGGAAAGTTGTTTATTCTAATTGGAAATTAATTAATTTTCAGTCATTAAATCCCAAAAAATCTGCACCAAATAAATGCATACCGAAATATATACCACTATACCATCTTTACGCTTCTATTTTGTTCACGATTATGCTTTAGAGAATTCATTACAAAGGGTATGCTTCTTCAGTTCTTCATTACTGTATCTTCTCAGTTTTATTTCTTTTAACATAATTTATTTAATAAATCAAGTTGCTAACATAAGTTCTTCAATCCTTCCTGTCTGTACCAGTTATAATTTCCTTGATTTTGTGATCGTTTACTGCATATTCATCCTCCACGACAGGAACAACTACACAAGGTTAGCAATCTGAAAGCCTGTTCAGTCTTTCTTTTACAGGACAATCTGAATTCATGCATTTGTACAAATTCGATAACTGCATATATTTTTCAGAGTTTTCATGTTTATGTACTTAATTCTTCCTCTTTAAGAACTGTACAGTGTTAATCTTCTATTCTTTCCTCTTAAAAAAAATATAAAATTATCGTTTTTAAGGTTGATTCTAATTTTAATCTACGTACGGACCAATTTAGTATGTATTATTTTTCCTGTTTATGTTTTTTACATTTGACAATCAATTAGTACACAAAAATGACCAATTATGTTGAAACATTTCCCATAGGGACAATTTATTCACGTTAACAGTTCAAACATTGATATTTTTTTAAATCCTGTTTTAGTATGTATTTGTATATATATTCGATAATTGCATATATTACTTTACAAAAATGCAAATATTTTTTTACAAAAATTTGTATAGGGATCAATAATGTAACACTATTAATTTAGATATGCTATATTTGTACTACATAGAAATCATTTTAGTATGTATTATTTTAACTATTTAAGTTTTTTACGTTTGATAATGTTGTATTACACTAAAATGACCAATTATCTAAAAACATTTGATCCAGTGACCATTTTTGTAACTTTTCCAAAAAACTGTTATGTGTAAAGAAATTTTCAAATACTGTTTTTTTTATTATCTTATTTGCTATATTATTATATATATATATTAAGTTTATGAAAGATTGTAACAATATTCGTTCCCTTATTTTGTCAAAATCGGTCCCTCAAGTTAGTTCGTGGGTTATTTTAACGCTACCATGGTTACCGCTTCAGGCGGCCTCTCAGAAATATCTTCCATCCTTTCAGAACTCTCTCTATTCCTCCGGTATAGTCTACTATCCACAGAAACCCACCGCCTCATACCCCCTCCTTTCTACCGTATTGTCTACGCTCAAGAAATCTTGGGCGTTTCTTGCCCTCCACCTGCTCTAGGCTCTCTTCTTCTCCTCAGAATCGTCGACCTCCACCAGCTCCTACCGTAGATTTGTGTAAACGAAGGTACTTATTCAATCCCGCCGCCTCTCTTATCAGATATCTTCCGTTTCCGACTCCACTCCACCGTCTTCCTTTTATCTCCCACCGCTTCTTCATCTCCATCCTTCTACAGGGTTTCTGTTAGCAGATCCTCTATTCGCACACCGATGAGAAGCACGAACGCAACAGATCAGGGAGGTGGGGAGGATGGTTCGATGGTCGCAAATCAGGGAGGTGGGGAGCACCTGCTCTAGGCTCTCTTCTTCTCCTCAGACGTTCGTCCCCTTTATGGTGTAGTCTTCGTCTGGTAGAGAGAGGGAAAAAGAGAAACACGAATGGAAATAGATAACGGGCTGGATTGGGAAATCTCCACCGACTCTTAGCTTGATCGGAGAAGAAGGACGAAGGCTTCAGCAGGAGCTGTCGTCAACTGTGATGGAAGAAAGGGGCTGCTCCGGTAGCGGATCGCGAAGGGGAGGAGGGAAAAACTGTTGGTCCCGTGGTGGTTCTGTGATGTTCAATCGAAGAAGAAGAAAACAAAATCAGCAACAGTAAGGGTTGGATGGAGGCTCGCCACAACCGGTTAGTTCATCGGTCCTTCTTCTTATCCACTTCGTGGTGTTAGATGACGCAAAGATGAATAAATGTAGATGACGAACGTCTTAACGAACCCTAATTCAAGGTAATTTCTTTATCCGTTTTCATTTTTCTTTTCTGAAAATTATGGAATTCGACTTCATTGTTTCCTGTTTCTTTGTCTTTATTATTGGTAAGATTCACTTCCTGTGAAGATTAAATTCTCAGCCACAGATGATTGCAACCAAGGTTCTAAATGGCGTGAGGCGTGGCGTGGCGGCAAGGTCAAGCCTCAAGCTTAACGAGCCATGGCGAGTTATGGCGTTTTTCAAGGCGTGATGTAAGGCGGCGATTTTGTATTAATTTATAATTATATTACCACATAAATATAAATTTATATTAAGTATTACTACTTTTTAGAAGTGTTATATCAATAACTAATAATAAAAAGTTAACAAAAAACACAATACTTGTATCCCCGATTAGAAAATACATAACAAATAGCAAAAAAACGTGTCTCATACGAAAAAACACGCGCCATAACACGCCATGGCACGCCATATCACGCCTTGCTACGCGCCACGCCTAACAGCAACGTTATGAAGCTTTTCGTAACGGCGAAGCCACGCTTCACGCCATGGCACGCCTTGGCGCGCGCCATGGCGCGCCTTTTAGAACACTGATTGCAACTATATCTCATTAATGTCAGTATTCAATTAATTCACTTAAGGTAATTGAATTTATATATATTATTATTTTGGGTACGGTTTTTACTTTCTCAGGTTTCTTTTCATAGCAGATCGACAGTTCCTTCGATTTAGGGTTTTATTGAAGTTTAATTATGTTGAACACAATTTCAGGTATGTGTTCTATCGATAACCGATTCTTTGTTTTCATTTGATTTCAATTAAATAATGACATTCATGAAATTCATCTTATGGGTTTTGAAATTCATTTTGATTGATAAATCAACAGCTTAGCACAAACAATCATCAATTTGTTAAAAGTCAAGATTGTTACTCATTTTTTCTGTGGATAAAACCAGGTGCAAGGAAGTTGATGAATTCACAGTTATGGCACGACTGTGAGCAAGTAAGTTTCTTTCACGGTATCTTTGTAAAGAAAAAATTACAAGTGATTCTATCCATTAATAGAATTCGTACTTTTTTTACTGTTTCATTCAAGCTTGCAGCATGATGTGAACCTGATGAAGTTTTTCACGAAGCTCACAATCCATGTTTCCGATGGTAGGAACTAAAAGCTGGGAACAAGAGAAAAAATCAGGAAAAAAATATGAGAAAAAAATAGATGGTGGGTGGGTAAAAACAGGAAGGCCCTTTTCTGATTGGAATCTGACTTAAAAGCTTTAGAACCCGGGTAAAAACACTAGGCATGTTTACAATATGTTGCTTTTGATTTTTTTTCTGCTTTTACATATTGAATTGTTAATAACATTTGGCATCATCCTTGCAGGTAAATGTATTTTATTTGGATAGAGTGTTGTGATAAAAGTATCATCATCATATTGAAAGAAATAGCGAGTTACATTCGATTACTTTCACTTCTTGATCTTCATATTTTAAAATTTTATCTTAATTTTTAAATGGAATATTGGTTTTGTTCTTATAAAAGCTGACTGTACATGTATATGTTGCTATTTGGTTCAGTTCGTCCAAGCAGAAATTGGTCAATTCTTTTATGCTCCAAAGTCCAAAAGTAAAGACCATAAAGGAGTTGCGACCGGTATGGACATGGCATAGGATAAATGAGGTAAAGACCATAAAGGAGTCCAAAAGCATTCTAATTTTTTTTTAAATTATTCATAAATTATAATCACTAATTGAATCGACCTGATGGTTGATAGTTGCAACAATTAATTGCAGGAAGGATTTCAGCTTTATTCCTTATCTTTTTACCGATATTTCTTCCATCTTCCACCGCCATCCATATCTCTCACTGCCTCTCTCCACCGCCTATGGTTTTAAGTTTAAACTGGGGTTAGATGGTCAACTTCTACCTTCTGCTTCCTTCTAAACTTCTTACGCTCCTCCAAAGTCCAAACCACCGCCTTTACCAGATTATCTGCTTCCGATTTTGATAGAGAACAAATAATCCACTAATCCTTTTTCCTTACGTCGACTCTGCTTCTTTCCCGTTCTCCTCAACCATGGTAACCGCCCCCACCTCATCCGGAATAACCCACCGCCTCATCTCGATTCTTCCAGATTATCCTTTTGTCAACTCGCTCTCTGCAGTCTCCGGGAACCCTAAATTCATCTCTACCGGAACCGGCGTCCGCCACCCGTACGATTCCTTATCTGCCACAACATCTGTATTTTCTGTATTTCTCCAACTGTGTACGTCTTCTCTCCATGTGCCTCTTCACTGATTTGGTATATCTCCTTCTGTATCTTCTATTTACACGGATTGCTTGCTTCCCGACCCTCAAATAAACGTGGGGTCGTCGATTTCCGTCAAATGACCCAGGTTCCCCTGGCTCTTCCACCGTCCGGGCTCCCTTTCCTCCCTATGCTCCCCCGGCGCATGCCTACCACGCTTCGCATGTTTATTTCAAAGGTTAGGGTTTACAGTTATCTTGCTCTGCTTTGTAGGGGGAGATGATGATGATGTCAACATGCTATTTGATGGGATTTCATCTGTATTTGATTCTTTGGAATCTAAAGAAAATACAAATACAGACATGGAAGAAGAAGCTTATGAGGCAACTATTAAAAAAGAATCAAGGAAGAAACGCAAGAACTCTGAGCAAATGGTGAATGTATTTTGATGTTGTGTGGTGCAGCCAATTCAAATGTTGTGAAGCTGAGCTGTGAAAAACTTCGACTTTTTTTTTCCAGGTTACCCACCTTGATTGTAGCTAATGTTAGCATAAAGAAAACTGCCTATATCCAGTTGCTTCCCATGAATGTATGCCTATTTCCTGTATAGTTTATAAAACTATTTATTTTGTCGATGCAGAAGCAGTTCATGGAGCTGCTACTGTTGCTGAAGCTGAAGGTGGAAACAAAATTTAAGCGTCTCAGGAACAAAGACTCAAAGTTGTTTTTTACTTTGAAACAGTTTGACACCAAACATCGTACATTATTAACCGGAACCCCTCTCCAGGTTTGTTATAGTGTTTAAGTGTATAATGTACTTTACTTTTTTTTATATATATTTAATCTGAATTGAAGATGGCTTTCAGAACATCTTGGATGAGCTTTTCATGCTCATACATTTCCTTGATGCTTTGCTGGGAAGGTTTGTATTATTGCAACCCCTTACCATAAGCTATGTCTAATATTATATAAGGAAAAGTACACAATCCTTAAACATCATCTTCTGTTACTATAATTTTTATGCACTTTGCAAGTTTGGAGGAGTTTTAAGAAGAGTTTAAGGATATCAATATAGAAGAGCAACTTTGAAGGCTCCATAAGAGTTTAGCCTCCCATCTTATAAAGGGTGTTGGAGATGGAGAGTTAATAAGGTAAAAAAACTAAGTGGTTATTATTGTTTTCGTTCTTATAAAAATATAAGCTTTTCTTAATTTTCTTAATTTTATGGAATTAGCTTCAACAACCATGTCATGCTGGTTCATTTTCTTAATTTTATTTCTATCGGTCTTGCAGGCTCTTGAACATAGACCTCAATCCCCCAATCTACAGACTACAAGTATCCCCTTAATTGTGATTACTTCCTGTAAATACCAACTCTAATCTTTAAATATGTTAAGTGTGCAGGTACCATACCTACTTATTTCATTTAGTCCAATAACGAGCTAAGTGCAATATATAAAAATATAGTTCTCTAATCTTTTCCAATACATGGACCAATTTTGTAATGTTTTTCTACAGAAGGACCAATTATGTAAACATTTTCTGCAGCAAAGACCATTTTGTTATGTTTTTATGCCACAGAGAGAAATTCGGTTATGTTTCTCTACCACAGTTGTCATTTGTGTGATATTTTTGTGTACATGGACTATTTCTGTAATATTTTTATGTAAACAGACCATTTTTGTAATATTTTTCTACAAACAGACCATTTTGGTAATGTTTTTTTTTATCATAGGAACCAACTCTGTAATCTTTTTTTCAAAAGTGACCATTATATAAAATAATTCTTCCACAAGGACCACTTAAGTAATCAATTTCTGCTTACATTTCCATCATCCGATTGATGGCAAATTACACAGAATAGCAACATACTTTAATTTCGATACCAATTTATGCAACGTACTTCCTTATTTGTCTCAGAAAACAAACACATTCTGCCCCGCGCAACGCGCGGGTAACCCCTCTAGTTTGTACTATGATCGTATGTTTATTGCATTAACAAATTAGCAATATAACATTTTCCTAAACATCATGAGTGCTGTTGAAGAAAATAAAGGAGGTGTCTTCTTCGTTTACGGTTATGGTGGAACGGGTAAACCTTTTTTTATGGAAGACGATATCTTCAGCAATTAGATCTGATGGTAATATTGTTTTAAATGTTGCTTCAAGCGGTATTGCGTCCTTATTATTGCCCGGTGGTAGAACAACACACTCTCGATTTATAATTTCATTTGAACTTACATATGATTCTTTTTGTAAAATAAATCCAGATGGTGAGTTGGCTAGCTTAATAAGAAAAACCTCTTTAATAATTTGGGATGAAGCACATATGGTCCATAAGCATGCATTTGAAGCTTTAGATCGAACTTTCAAAGATTTATTAAGGTGCGGAAATTCAAGCATCTCAAATATTCCATTTGGAGGGAAAGTTATTGTCTTTGGAGGAGATTTCAGACAGATTCTACCTGTTGTTCCGGGTGGTAGTAGACAGAACATTGTAAATGCTTCTTTGAGTTCTTCATATTTATGGTAACATTGCAAAGTCCATAGATTAACAAAAAAACATGAGGCTAACTGTTGGAAGGGATCAATCTGGTATAGAAAAAATAAGAGATTTTGCAAATTGGCTATTGGATATAGGAGAAGGCAAACTTGGTGGTCCGAACGATGATGAAACGATTATCGATATTCCAGATGATATTGTCATTAATGATTCACATGATCCTATAGGTTCCTTAATTGAGTTTGTATATCCTTCAATTTTAGAGAACTATAGCAATATAAATTATTTCCAAGAAAGAGCGATACTTGCTCCAAAAATTGAAGTTGTTCAGGAAATAAACGACCGTTTGCTTAAGAAGTTTCCAGGAGATGAAGTTGAATATTTAAGTTCAGACAGCATATGTGAATCTGAATTTGTCCATGATCAGTTTGATGCAAATTTATACTCTCCTGGTGTATTAAATGGTCTCAAAGTATCCGGTTTACCAAATCATAAGTTAGTTTTAAAAATTGGTGTTCCAGTAACGTTACTAAGAAATGTTGATCAGAAAAACGGCTTATGTAATGGCACAAGACTACAGGTGATATCATTGGGCAAACGTGTTATTGAGGCACGTATAATAGCTGGAACTAATATTGGAAACCGGACTTTTATTCCAAGAATGTCTTTAACTCCATCAGAAAAAAAATTCCCTTCAAATTCACAAGAAGACAGTTTCCTTTAGCCGTATGTTTTGCGATGACTATTAATAAAAGTCAAGGACAATCGTTATCAAAGGTTGGTTTGTTTCTCAAAGATCCAGTTTTTTCACATGGACAATTGTATGTTGCCTTATCTAGAGTTCAAAGCAGAGAGGGATTAAAATTATTAATTTTAGATAAAGATGGCAAAGTCACAAATAAAACTTCCAATGTTGTTTATAAGGAAGTTTTTCGAAATTTATAGCCAACTTTTTTTTGTAGCATATTTTATTCATTTTTAGCAAATCACACTTAATCCATCATATTACTTTATTTATTTATAATTACATATTGTTTTTTTTATGTTAATTTCATTACACACATTGGTAATGCATCATCTGCATATGTTCAACGAGAATCATGCACCAAAAATAAGGGTTTTCAAAAATCTCTATTTCTAATTAAATACTTACCATTTACTGTGTAATTAAATACTTAAAAATCAAAAAGTTATTGAAAACTACAATATTACAATTCATAAGTTTTCTAAATTAATGAAATATTATTTTATTAAATAAATAATTTTTAAATTCAATTGAAAATCAACACCCGTGGGTTCCACGGGTTTTAACCTAGTATATATATATATATATATATATATATATATATATATATATATATATATATATATATATATATGGGGATAGGGAATATACATTACAGTCTCACCTAAGCTTAGGTACTAAACCTATAAAATATGTTGTTTTAGCTTAGTAAATATGTCCGATTTGGTTTTCACTTGGTAAATATATCATCATCGATAACATTTCTTTCCTCCATTATCATTTTTCCATCCCTAATTTTTTTCCTCCATTATCATTTATTACTTCACCCCAGTGAACATTACTTTTTTCTGTTGTCACGAAGATCTAAGATAATCAATATTCTTGCTTCCTTATCAAAACTATTGCGTCGATCTTGAATCTACATCTTCAATTTTTAATCGTGAATCCCCTAACCGCAATCTTTATATAGTAAAACAACGTATTTTCATGAGGTTTAGTACCTAAGCTTAGGTGGGACTGTAATGTATATTCACTTTTCCATATATATATATATATATATATATATATATGAATGACTATTTGAGAACTCATAGTTCCCGAGAACCCGAAAACTAAAAGTGAAACGTTGGATCAATTGTTTGGATGGCTTATATGATCGGTGGCATGATTTGAAAATATTACTAATTTTAGTGACATATCGGGTTTTTTTAAAATTAATCACGGGGTATATTTGGTGGAAAAAGTGTTATATGTTGAAAAAGATCAATTTATAGAAATTCCATAAATTACGTTCTCTCTCTCTCTCTCTCTCTCTCTCTCTCACACACACACACATATTATCCTCTTACCTCTGCATCGATCTCCTCCCTTGTTTTTCCATACACCACCTCTACCTCAGTCTCGATCAACGACAACTCCAATCTAAGGGTGAGCAAAAACCGAACTGACTAAAGAAAAACCGACAAAACCGCAATAAACCGCAATCGAAAAACCGAAACCGATGCAAAAATCAAAGGTGCGGATTTAATTTTTGCAAAAACCGAAAGTCAACGGTGCGGTGCAGTTTCTATCCAAAAAACCGGTCCACCAAAACCGAACCGCACCGCAAGTGTGTATAGTAATAAATCAGTCAATGTATATTATATACATGCTATTTAAAATACTTATAAACGATAATATATTTATTATATGTTTATTTTGTGTTTGTGTAAGACTATATGGGGTGCAAAAGAAATGTTCTATTGTTAGCCAAACGTACTAATCGATTACATTAAATAAGCTTGTAACAAATTAAGTTAAAATCAACCAACTTTCAGTTATTAATTTATTTGTGAGAGTAATCACATGTTGCATTTTAAGCGACTTACAATTTTTGATTATATATTTTTGTTTTAAGCTGAAAATGAATGGTTTAAAAAAAGCAGCACAATACAAGCTTACATGACATGGTTTTCAATTCTTACAGTTTTAAAAAACCGCACCAAAAACATAAAAAACTGCACCAAATTCTAAACACGGTTTAAAACCGAAACCGCACCAATACAAACTGAAACCGCATTTAAAAACCGAAAAACCGAACCATTGCAAACCGCACCCAACGGTTTTAAGAATGCAAAAATCGCACCATGCGGTTTGCGGTTCAGTGTGGACTTAAACCGCACCAAACCACACCATCCTCACCCCTACTCCAATCTGATGTCCTTAATCTCCAGATCATCGATGCTGAATCCACCAACCAAGAGATCGAATTCGTTCGCGTTCATCTTCGATTGCAGCTGTAGGTCGTCGAAGCCCTAATTAGTTCAGTGGTGGATCGATGGATGTATCCATCTTCATGTCCTACAGAAACAGTTCTCTATTGAAATCGAACTTACACACATTGAAATCGAACTCAATAGCATAGATGCATCAGAGCAAGTCTGTAACAGTTCTCCAACTCTTACTCTTCACTCTCTGCCGGATTTTTCATGTCCTCCATCGGTCTCTTCCCTTTCTCCAGATTACGACAACAACAGGCGCAGTGTAGAAAAACAATCTCGGAAACCCTAGCAGAGATTTGTTTCCCAATCCTACGCCGCTACGACAATTGCCGCTTCCTCCACGATGATAACAACAAAACATCCGTCGTCGATCTCAATCCACCGGTAATGACTTACTTGTTCATTATTATTTGAATCTATTATGTTAATTGTGAGCTATCAGAGGAAAAAATATGGAGAAAAAGAAATATATTAGAAATTAAGTTATGTGATGATATAAAATGCAAGATATATGCTGAAACATTCTGATTAAAGCAACACAATAATCAAAAAATGCCACAAATCATGTATGATTACTGCATCAGAGGAAAAAAAACATATGAACATGCCATCAATATATGAACTTGTTCGTTTTTAGCGTTGATTATTTTGTTATGGTATTGAATTGTTGATTTTACAAATATGTTTAAATGATCGATGTTATAATTTTTTGAAGTTGCAACTAAATAAAGGATCTGTTGTGCTTTAGTTGTTTTTAGTGGTTAAGTTTTAATTTTTGAAAGCAAATTGAAACAGATTAATTCTTAGGATTTAATTTATTAATTTCAAGAATATGATTAGTTAATACTTTGAAGTTTTTTTTTTTTTTTTTTTTTTTTTGAAAGAGCCAAAGCTCAGCGAACTTTATTAAAAAAGAATAAAAGAATACAACACAATCAAACCAACATTAAACCATAACTCCTATAATTCTCCAACCTATCCATAACCAGCTACCTAACCATTTTTTAACCAACAAATAAACCTCAATATTACCCCAAACAACCTTACTAACCGTAAGACTAGTCCACAGACTTATTTGATGTGGGAAAAAAGGTAACTTCAACCCCTTGCAACACCGTAACCACAAATTTCCATCAACACGAATGCAAGGGCAAGGCCCTTAAAAAAACCCACTGTCCAGTAGACTAGTCTTAAGGACCAACCCGTAACCTCACCCTTAACAATCAACCATCTAAATAAACCAAAATTAAGGTAAACACTACTAAATAACCAAACAGCCCTATGAATTAAGAACAGACAAATGCTCGCAATCCAGAGTCTTCTTCCATTCTTCCAGCCTTCAGACCACCACCATTCACTCTGCAGTCTATCAATCTGCAAAACCAGCCTACTACTCTCCTTAAAGATCACCATCTGCCTAACCTGGATCCATCTTCTAATCTGCCAGCTAACAGTCCTCCTCCAATTATACTTCAAGCTGACCATTTGGAATATAATCCATCTGCTCCAAAAACAGATCTGCCTGTGCTGCACAAGGAACCTGTACAACAAACCAATCCAAAAAGAAACAAACCAAAAATAGAACTTATTTAGTTTCAGGCTAGACATGGCATCAATCACATGTCTAGGGAACCCTATTTGAATAATCTCAACAAAGATCATATCCAAACAGAAATTCCCTGGGGTACAAGCCACTTGATTTGAAAGCAAACTTTCAAATAAGCAGCAAAATCCGTCAATTCCTTCAGATTTGAACCAAATAATGGTATACCTCCACCACAACCCAATCAAATCTCCCAGAAACCTCAAAACCAACCCCAAACTCCACCAAAAACAGTTAACAACCCCTGTTCTTCTTTTGTTAACATTTATATCACTACCCTTATGCAAATTGTCCATTCCTTTGATACCCCACTTCTTACACACTTTTCCATGCATCATATTCAACTGTAACTTCATACCTATCATTTTCAGTTGAACTTCCTTTTCAATACAATGAATCACATCTTTATAAGGCCTGCTCACATTTCTAAACAGTCTAGCATTCCTCTCCATCCAAATGTGAGCAACACTACCAGCTAGAACAAGTTTCTTAATCACAGATTTCCCTTTAGAACAGCCACAGAACTTAATAATAAGATCATTCCAGTCATCATAACTGAACCCAACCCCAATCTTCTTACAGAAATACCTCCAAATCTGATTAGCATACTCACACCTGAAAAAAGAAGATCACGAGAATCATTCATTTTAAGACAAAGAGGACATAGAAGGATACCCTTTGTTTCCCAAAATTTGACACGATCCTGGGTTTTCAACTTATTCAATACAGCCATCCATAGAATGAAAGAGTTCCTAGGAATATTATTGCCAAACCATACAATATTATACCACGGAACCTTAAATCCAAAATTATTGATATCAATCCAAACTTGCTTACAAGAGAACTGCTTGCATGACCCAACCTTATCCCTCCAAATAATTTTGTCCATCTGATCAGCTTCATTACAGAACATTGGGCCATCCTTCAAACCAGGAAATTTATTCACCCATTCACTAGGCCAAGTTAAATGATCATTAACCATAATATCACAGACCTTTGACATATCATTAAATCCTTTACTTAACCATTCTCTCCTTGAAATTATAGCACTAAGAATTCCAATGGGGTGCCACCAATCATGCCATATAGAAGTATTTTCACCATTCCCAATACTCGACACAACATGGAACCTAATATGTTTTCGCACATCAAGAAACCTCTTCCATGTCCAATTCATATTCTTTTTATACATGATATCCCCAAAATTCTTGTCCCTAATATAATTATTATGCACCCATCGGACCCAAAGAGAATTTTTATTCTTCACAACATTCCAAACATGTTTGGCCAATAAAGCATCATTCCATTTCCTCAAGTCCTTCACTCCAAGACCTCCACACTCTTTTGGAGTACACACAATGCTCCAACTAACTTTAGCTTTTCCTTTAACCACTTCCCCATTACACCATAAATAACTTCTACACATTTTCTCAATCTCCTTAATTGTAGCCACAGGAATTTTAAAAACTGAAGCCCAATAAACATGCATAGAAGTCAACACAGCATTAATGAGCTGTAACCTACCAGCAAACGACATGGTCTTATTTTTCCAGTTACTAATTCTCATCTTGATTCTTTCAATTAGTTACTTACAGTCTCTACTAAACAATTTCGTGACCGACATTGGAACTCCAAGATATTTGAATGGAAACATACCAAATTCAAAGGGAAGAATGCCTAAAATAATCCTTCTCATATTCGGCTTTACACAACTGAAAAAGATCTGACTTTTCTCCATACTCACATTCAATCCCGAATTATTCTTAAATTCATCAAGAGAATCTTTAATAACCCTAGCCGATCTGCTATTCCCATAACAAAAAACCAGCAAATCATCAGCAAAGCATAGATGTGTAATTCTTTGAGGCTTGCATTTGCTATGATATTTAAACTTCTGACAGCCTTCAATATTCTTTTTAAGTATCAGATTAAAAATTTCCATGACAATAGTAAAAAGATAAGGAGATAATGGATCTCCCTGTCTTAAACCCCTTTTTCCTTCAAAATAACCATGGTCCTCACCATTAATACTCAACATAAACCAATGAGTTAACACACATGCCATAATCCATTGAACCATTATAGAATGAAACCCAAAACCAATACGAATCTGCTTCAGAAATTTCCAATCCACCGTATCATAAGCCTTTTGGATATCAATTTTTAAGGCACATTTAGGAGCTCCCATCTTCCTTTTATACCCCACCATCAACTCCTGAGCAAGCAGAATATTTTCCAATATAGATCTTCCAGGTATGAAAGCAGATTGATTTATATCCACAATATCACCCAGACTTCCTCTTATTCTATTCGCTATAATCTTGCTAATACACTTATAAATGGTATTACAGCAGGCTATAGGTCTAAAATCCGTAACCTTCCTGGGAAAATCAACCTTAGGGACAAGCACAATTCTCGTATTATTAAAACAATTCAATAGTTTCCCGTCCAAAAAAGTTCCCTCACTGCTTTACATACCTCAGGCCCAACAATACACCAAGCATCTTTAAAAAATTTAGATGAAAACCATCAGGGCTAGGGGCACGGTTGTCATCAATATCGAACATCGCAGCCTTAATCTCCTCATCTTTCACCACTCTAATCATATCCAAAGCCACCCTACTATCCAATTTATTACAAATTAAACCATTATCAACATTAATAGGTTCAGTAATAACATCTGTCCCAAAAAAACTCTTAAAATGGTTAACAAATCGATCCTTCATAGCTTTCCCACTTACCCATCTCCCCTCCTCATCAAGCACCAAAGAAATGCGACTTTTATTCCGCCGACTGTTTATTACTTTGTGAAAGAACCTAGAATTTTTATCTCCTTCTTTCAACCAATTTATTTTTGATCTTTGAAAGAGAATCTTCTCCTCATCTTCACAAGCCTCATTGAAATCAAATAAGATTTTTGTATGCTCCTCCTTTAAACTAACATTAAAAGGGTCCATATCAATTTCACCTTGTTTTATATCCAGAACCCTTCTCAAATCCTGTATCCTTTTTTAGATCCCATATACGAATTACATAATTTGCGACACGGATTCTTTAACAGCTTCAACTTATGTGCAACTTTATACATAAAAAAACCCTCAATATTAGAATCCCAAACCTCCTTTACCATAGGCAAAAATTCTTCCTTTCCAGCAATGAAATTAGCAAATCTAAAAGACGGCTTCCATCTAGGTTTGCACATCGGAATATTCAGAATAGCTGGACAATGATCCGATATCCGATAAGGTTTAAAGACAGCTTGAGCCATAGGGAAATCCACCATAAACTTCAAGTTAGCCATGACTCGATCTAATTTCTTCATAATACCCTTATTACCATTAGGAGATTTGGTCCAAGTGAACTGAAACCCAGTACAATTTATATCCTCGACTTCAATGTTATTTATACAATCTATAAAATCAGCAACCCCTTCTGGAATTCTAGAAGAACACTCAGAATATTCTGAAGGTTTCATTGCCACATTGAAGTCACCCAAAATTCCCCACGCATAATCCTTAACAACAGATCTATGCATCACCAAATTATCCCATAGGTTCCTCCTTTCTATATAATTTGTAGCAGCATATATAAAAGAAAGATACATGTTATAGTTAGAATCAATAAATCTAACATAACAATGTATAACTTGATTGGATTGAGAAACCACCATCACATCAAAAATCTTAGAATTCCAACCAATTATGATTCTAGTACCAGCAACACAACAAATAGAATTTGACACCCATTCCCATTCACCAAAAGTCTTGGAACACACCTTTTTCAGATTCAAAGCATTCACATGAGACTCCACTACAGCACATATCCCAAGATTATTACTTTTAATAACCTCAATAACCTCCTTTAGCTTAATGGATTTATTATTTACCCCTAATATTCCAAACTCCAATAGCCATCATTGAACTAGAACAGATTTGTTGGCAATTTCCCCCTCAACTGCCTGAGATTTCACAGATTCCACCTTTCTAACATTACCCATCCCATTATCATTCCCTGCATTCATCAAAGAACCCATCCCATTCTTAAAATCACCCATAGAAGTACTAGAAACACCAGTACTTCCCATTTTCAAATGTTCATCAGGCCTTACCAATTTAGCATCTTCTTCCATGCTATCAACAACTTCATCAACAATCATTGCCAATATTTCAAACCTATTTTTATTACAACTATCATCCACATTTACCACATTCTTTTTACTTTCCTCCTTAGTATTTTCTTTATTCTTTAATATCTCTTTATATTGACTAGCATTCCCATTTTTGTCATTCCCTTTATTCCCTTTGATTCTCAACCTGATAACTTTTATTATTAAAAGCTTCAAATTTTTTCTCTTTTCCTTGATTCCACTGACTAACTCCCCTGCTACTCCAGTTCCCATTTTGCCCCTTACCATTCCCACCATTACCCTTAAAATTAATACCTTTATTATAATTTCCATTCTTCCCATAGTTCTTTTGCTGATAAACATTCCCAACAACTTCCTTAACTCCACTAGTTCCAGACCCAACAATTCTTCCTTTCCCCTTTTTATTAGCAACCTCAATGAATCCCTCATCATTCATCACCCCTTTCCCATTATTTTTCTGATTCAACCCTTTATCCTGCTCATTAATACCTTTTACATCATTCAAAGCTGCCATACACACTTTATCCATATGTCCATAGACCTTACAATGGGAACAACGAGAAGGAATCCAAGCATACTCCACATCAAATGATTGAATAACAGCAAAATTAGTAACAAAATCCCAAGTAGAAATCTCAATTTTCTTTTTCCATTCCTTCTCCGTTGACATTTCAACCAAAATTCTGGCATAAGCATTTCTTCCCTTATGATCAAGGCACATCTCTTCTGTAAATGAATCAAAAGCCAAAGGAACACCCAATTTACTAGCAATGATACATAAATTCTCCCCACTCCACACTTCCAAGGGTAAATCATATATTTTAATCCATACAGGAATCTTATTGTGCTTATTTTTTGTAAGAGTAAGCCCAGGCCTCCACCTTTGCAAGAAAATTGGAATATTATTGAACATCAGCCACGGACTCTCTTCCAAAACTGATAACATCCCTTGTTCATTACTAAATTTAACGAAGAAAAACCCCTTACTATTTCATAAAAATCTCCTCCAATCCCACATTCTTCCACATACGCCTCAACTCCTTTTGAATAACCGGAAATGATAGCTTCTTATCAATCAAATACCCATACAAAGTATTAGAATACGGAATGCTAGCCTTCTTCAAATTCTCAATAGGAATTATTACTGGCCCATCTTCATTCCCATCTTCCCCTAGAATGAATTTAACGTCAATCTTTCCCTTATGCATTTTTCCTTTTAAAACACCAGCATACGAATTAGAGAGATTCACCTTCCCACTTTCAGCTACTACATGAACCTCACTTGCCTCTCCATTAGACAAACTCTTACCTCCTTTTCCTGCTTCTCCAAGAATCGATGGTTCCAAATTAATACTATTAATAACTGTTCCCATCATATTCTTCAAACTAACAGGAATCACCTCCTCTTTTCCATCTTTCATTTCCTTTTCTGACTCTGAAACTCCTTCCTTAGTATTTATCAAATTACCATTCTCATCCCAATACACCTCAGCTTCATTACTTGCAATTCCCCCATTATCCATATCAATTTCAACAGATTTCAACTTACTATCATTCTTCAGTTGGCTCTGTTTATCATTTTTAAGAAAAGAGAACCCTACTCCCTGAATAAATTCTTCATACACCATACCACTTTCCTTATTAACCATTTTACCACTACCCTTAGGATCAAAACCATCTAACCCAGATCTAGCAGAACCATCATTACAATCAATACTACTAGACAAACCTTGCCCAGCAATATCACTAATAACAATCGTAGGATTAGCAGATCTCATTTGATTAGTGATATCCTTTAGTTCAGTATTAGGGCTTAACATCTCTTCTCCTAATTTAGAATTCTCCCAATTTTTAGAAAGATAAGCAGTATTACCTGACGGGATATGATTTTCAGACGCAACTGAATGCTTCTCCCCAGATTGAACATGCTTAATATTCGCATACACCACCTTAATCGATTCCTTCCTATTGTTTTGTTGATTACTCGAATCAGATTCCCATACCCCTTCACTCCCAGACTCAATCTCAGTTTCTTCTTCTATTCCCGAATTATCATAATATCCTTCAGCATCCATAGGGCAACTATGAGCCATAATTTTCCTAGCACGATTCTTCACTCTGAAACCCCTTCCCTCCATTTTCCATTCAGCTTTCCCAATCCCCGTAGCAACAGCACCAGAAGCATTCGTCTTACGTCGTGCACGATAGATTGTAGCTGATGACTGTTCTACAACTCCAGGAGGAACCATTTCATTCACATCTACCTCATTTTTAACATAACGTATCGCAGCACTCTTATCCGGAGGCTTCACCTTCACATCCTTCAAACGATCCTTCTTGGAAGAAGCACCCATCACAGCAACGGAAATAGATGAGAAAATTCTTCAAACCGGAGATGAAACAAATCCCCGATGAAGAAACAACGACGAAATCAAGCCGAAAACGCACCGTCGATCAGAGAGAGATGAAGAGAGAGAAAAAGTAGAGAGAGAAAGCGTTTTTTTGGTTGTTCCTTAAATTTTAGTTCCGTGTTCTCAGTTTATACTTTGAAGTTACATGTTCAAACACCTCATTGGTTGTAGGCAACCGGACGTAACACCAAATTTGTGTCATCTCATCCATAACACTACCATAATACCAAGGGGAAAATGGTGTTCCTCATGTTATATCATGTTAAGAGGTAGAGAGAGAAAATAGAGAAAATTATTTGATTTGTTGATGAAGATAGCCAATCATCTTTCTTGTTTTATCTTGTCATCGTTACCACAAGATGCAACATAACGAGCAAAAATGAGTAGGAGGGCGGTGTTCCCCCCCGTCTCGACGCCGTTGAGGGTGCCACATCACCCGGTTGCTTCTCGTTTTTGTCCCATACCGCATCCTCTTATAGAATTTGAGGAGTGAATTGTTTAAATAGACATATTATAATAATTGCTTTTAGGATTTGAGTTATACACGGTTAGCTTTTGCTTTCATAAGCTAATTGATAGCTCTTACCAAAGGGCTTGTAGCCCAGCGGTATCAGGTGATGCCCTCCTCTTTGAGGTCGAGGGTTCAAGTCCCGTCGTGGACATAGGTGGAATAGGTGTTGTTAGCTTAAGAATAGATTAGATTTGCCGGTTCGAAAAAAAAAAAAATTTGACAGCTCTTAAATTTACTTATTTTCATTTAATATTTTCTTTCAAACTGAGGTGAAGAAAGTTTTTTTTATCTTTTGTGATTAGCTATAAAAAATATATTTGATGTAAAGATTATTGAACAAAATTTATATATAAGAATACTTGCCCTGAGTCGAATTTGTAGATTTTTTTTTGCATATACTTTTTATATAAAACTTGGGTGAACTCTTTTTTAAGAATTATAAACCACAGCCCAAGAATTATGAACTCAAGTGGATGGACTTTAAAGGTTATGAAGGTTATTGTGTTGCTATTTGCTATTGATTGGGACTTCGAAACTAATGATTAGATTTTGAGTGAATTGGATGAACTTTAAAGGTTCAATCAAATTAATGAATTAATGGAGTAATGTGTAACACAATTTCGACATTGGCTTAATGACAAAAGATATGCACAAGCCATATATGCCAAATAACTTATTTGTCCTTCTTCAATTCTAGTTAAATCACAAGTGATTCACATATAAAATCATATGTAATTCACATATTAATCTCATCTAATTTTCATGTGAATCATCTTAATTTTTTTAACTATATAGTTTATTTTAACTTGTTTCTGGTTAACAATAACTCTCAAATGAATCATATATGAATTATAAGTAATTCATATATAAATCATATGTAATTCGCACGTAAATCACAAGTGATTCACATGTAACTCACAAGTGAATAATATATGAATTACATGTGATTCACATATGAATAACTTGTAATTCACATATAACTCACAACTGATTCACATGTAAATCACAAGTGCTTCATATATGAATTATATGCGATTCACATATAAATCATATGTAATTCGCATATTAATCACATGTAATTCACATGTGAATCATCTTAATTAATTATTATTTTTAACTATATAGTTTATTTTAACTTGTTCCTGGTTAGCAATAAATATCAAGTGAATCATATGAATCACATGTAATTCGCATGTGAATCACATGTAATTCGCATGTAAATCACAAGTGATTCACATGTAAATCACAATTGAATAATATATGCATTATATGTGATTCACATATGAATAACATGTAATTCATGTATAACTTGTTGGATTAGTGTCTAAGTCCATAACTATCTTTGGTATGTACTTGACCCGGTTGTAGCATGGTCCTTTTGGGTTGCCTTCACACTGGTGACTAAACAGGAGACTGTTGAGGAGAGAGGCTGATTTATTGTTAAAAATAATAAATTGGGGTATAAATATGATTTGTTAATATATTATATGAATAATATATTAATTTGGAATCATATTATTAATTAATATTTAATCAGAAATTAATTAGGAGTTAATTTTGGGATTAAATGAATTAATTAATAGTGCAGGGGTTGTTTTGTAATTATTTGCTAGTTGAGACTTTGGGCCATTGGATCACCTTTATTGAGGCTTGGCCGAAAATCCTAGAAGGATCTAGGAGTTTTCGTCCAAGGGCTTAAGGGAAGGAGTCCATGGATTTGCTTAGGCCCTAAGCTAAGGGATTAGGGTTTCCACCTTGAAACCCTAGTTGACTTCAACTATAAATAGCACCCTAAGGCACTCAAAATCGGCTACCCCTTGCAGAAACCCTAACAGATCCGATTTTGTGAGCTTGTTACCCTCCATCCTCTCTCTCATATTCATCCTTTCACTCAAGTGTGTTCGTGAGCCATTAGAGGTACTATATTTGTGGTACTTGCTTTCAAAGCTAAAGAGATTCAAGAAACAAGTTGTTATTACTACATAACAACAAAAGGTATGTATTCTATTCTTCTATATGAATTTCGAAAATTATAGATGTTGGATTAGTGTCTAAGTCCATAACTATTTTGGTATGTACTTGACCCGATTATGGGCATGGTCCTTTTGGGTTGCCTTCACCATAGCAATATGTAGGATGAATTAAGGAGAGAAAGGTTTAATTATGATTTATTAATATATTATGAGAATAATATATTAAAGGAGAAATCATATTGTTTAATTAATATTAGTCAAGAATTAATTAAGAATTAATTTTGTGTCTAAAAGAGATTAATCAAACTTAAGGGACTTATTGTGTAATTATAAGATAATTACATAATTGGGCTATGGATCACCTTGGAATAATAGGTTGGGCGAATTCTATGGGGAAGCCCATTAGAAATCGTCCAAGGCATGTTCCAGAAGGGGTCCATGGGCTGCTTAGGGCTTAAGCAGTCAAATTAGGGTTTCCTTGTTAGATAACCCTAATTGCCTACCTATTTAAAGAACCCTTGAGACCCAAAAACGTAACTAACACTTGGATTAGGGTTTCCAGCCATTTTTGGTGTCTCCTCTCTCTTCTCTCCTTCATCCAATTGCTTAGTGGTGTTTGTGACTCCATTAGAGGTGCAACACTTGAGGCACTAAGCTTTCTGAAGCCAATCAAAGCAAGGAATTGATTGTTATTACTATATAACAATCAAAGGTAATTACTAAACCCTTATTTCAGTTCTTATTTGATAGATCTAGGGTTTATAGCTTTGGATATTCAATTGCATGTTCATTAGACAAACCAGATCCAAAAGCTATTAGGGTTTGCATGTACACCATAGGAATGATGTATTGATTGAAACCCATCAGTGGTATCAAAGCCTAGGGCTGTTTGTTAGTGAATTTGATGCTTATTTGATCAAAAATTGCTTGAAAAATCGAATTTTCTGGGTTCTGACTGCCAGACTCGCCGAGTCCATTCGTGGACTCGACGAGTAGGTCCTACTCGACGAGTTCCAGTGTGGACTCGATGAGTCCAAGGATTTGTTGCCGGATTTTTCGATTTTTCCACCAGATTTTGTTGAGGATAATTTCCAAAACTCGTTTTTATTGCCTAAAATCGATTTTTTATGTTTGGAATGATTATCCTTGTCAAAATTGATGGATTTGGTTAAATATGGATAATATAGTATTATTATTAGTAAATATTTGACCTAGTAAGTTGTGAAAAAGTTTCAATTTTTCCCTTTAGGTTTTATAGTTTAAATTTGAACTTAAAAGTTTTGTTTTTGAAATTTAAATATTTAAACCCTAGTGTTTTGAAAAGTTTCAAAATTTGTCCTCAAGTTTTGGAATTTAAATTTTTTGATTAAAAGTTAATTTTGAAATATTTAAATTCTAATCCAAATGTTTTGAAAAGTTTCAAAACTTGCCCTCAAGTTTTGGAATTTAAAAGTTGATTAAAAGTTTAATTTTTGAAATGTTAAATTCTAAAACCCTCGTATTTTTGAAAAGTTCAAATTACACCCTTATGGTTTTGTTAATTAATTAAAGCGTATAATTAAAAGAGAGTTAATAAATCCATAAAGTTTTGGTTTACATTTAATTAAATTAAAAGTATAATTAATTAAATTAGACCACCTAGTATTTTAAAAGTTTAAAATACACCCTATACTATATATATATATGACATTAAAAGTCTAATATTATATATGTATAAGTAAACAGTCAGTCTTACCGTTAGTAGGCCTCATTCACGAAGCTGGTCTATAAGGGGTGTTTAAGGAAGTTGCCTATAAAATGGCGATTGAATGGGTATCCACTCTTACCCACCGCACTCTTGACTAGTGGAGGGTCGTTAGCCGAACGGGTAGGATAGGACGAAACCTTCCATTATAAGTATAATGAAGTACAAAGTAACTACATGTTTTTACAAATTCCCAAATCATAGTTACTTTAGAAAAAATGTGGAATTGTATGCTAATCCATGGAATTACACTTTGTACCCTTGTCGAAACGTTAGTGGAGCGTGTGTAGTTAACCGGCACACTAATTTGGGTTTGGCATTGGTGGCGAAGGGTGGCTCGATGTTTATCATAGATCAATGGAGCGTGTGTGGCTAACCGGCACATTGATTAGGTGTTAGTAGCATTGGGTGCACCATGTGATTCGCATGGTTATTCACACCTTGTTTGTGATCCTCGGCATCCCAGTCGCAAACTTGAAGGGCATAATCGAGATTAAACATGCCATTGAAAAGTTCAATGAATCTCAAAAGATCTAGGAGTTTCAATTCATTTAAAACTTAAATTTCTTTTTCGTTTTTCATGGTGGAAATTGGTAAATCGTCATTTACCTACCTTCAAATATTCTGCAACTAGATTACGACATCCCTCTTCTAGGTTGTAGAGTATTGTGTTGGATCCTAGCCTTGATGTTTAGTTTGGGTGTTACATCAAGGA